TTAATATATTTAGTAAATCTTTATAACTTTTTCAGCATTTTTATGTCATCGTTAGTTGTTACGTTTTATCAGTTTATTACTGTTTGTAAATGTAACTTTGTATAAACGATTGTTGTATGAAATGTTGATTTATTTAAATTATTATAATTATTATACTATTATTATTACTATTGTTAACATGTTATCATTATTATTATTATTATTATTATTATTATTATTATTATTATTATTATTATTATTATTTATTATTATTATTTACTATTATTGCTATTATAAATATTTTTATTATTATTATTACTATTACTATTTTATTTATTGCCATTAGGTGCTTACTTAATGTTAGTAGTTTATATTATAATTACTATATTATTATTATTTCTATTGTTAAAGTAACAAGTTATCATCATTATTATTAGTAGTATTATTTATTATTATTATTATTTACTATTATTATTAGTAAAAATATTATTTTTATTATTTTTACCATTACTATTTTAATCATTGTCATTAGGTGTTTACTTTATGTTAGTAGTTTATACTACTTGTAAACAACCTTGAAATTTAATACCAAATATTTCAAAAATATATTGATTGATTGAATGTAGGGTGTAATAAATATATTGATTGATTGAATGTAGGGTGTAATAAACATATTGATTGATTGAATGTAAGGTGTAACAAGTGCATAATTTACTATATTATAGTAAGTGTTATACTATTACTACAGATACTTACTACAAACTCCTTTATTTGTAATTGTTACATCTATTTTTTTCTCACAAGAGTCCATTTTAAGATAACAGTAATTAAAATAAGTTCTTTTGTTTGATCCACAAACTGGTTTATATATGTTCGAACACTTTGTTGGACATACACATACTTCAACACCATTCCTTACTTCACAATTAGAATACATTCCACATTTTTTTGAGAAACAAGAACTAATACCTAAAAACATTTTAAAACTGATCTCCTAAATTTTAAATTTTTATAATTTGTATTAATTATGTTAATTATAATTATAATACTATTTGAACTCTTTATAGAACTATTTGAATTGAATAGTACTATTTTATAGCACTATTTGAAATATATATATATATATATATATATATATATATATATATATATATATATATATATATATATATATATATATATATATATATATGTATATATATACATATATATATATATACATATATATATATACATATATGTATATATATATATATATATATATATATATATATATATATATATATATATATATATACATATATACATATATATATATATATATATATATATATATATATATATATATATATATATATATATATATATATATATATATATATATATATTGTAAAATTTTTATTTTGTACACTATTGTGTTATATACTTTTTTCTTTCTTATATAAACTAATACAACTGTAGCTCTTTTAAGCCAATTAAAATACATGGTTATTCATTACAATCAAAAGAGCTAAATTTATTATCATTACAAAGAAATAAAAAGAAGAAAGAATGGGAAAATTTATAAAATCTAATAGACTTGGCATAGATCTTATCTCACCAAATGCAGCAAAAGCATACAACATTTAACATTTAACATGGTATAAAACATTTAACAATTTTAAAGCACAGTTAATGATAATGAGATAAATCTAAATCTCCTAATTAATCATATTGAATCAAATGTTTAATAATATATATCAGAGTGTGATAAGTTTGATTGAGAAAATACTTGAATCATTATATAAAATTAAAGAAAGAAATATTTGCACGTTTTATCTACATGTAAGCAGAAAACTTGTGATAGATGTGACCCAACAAAATTCAAACTTGTACTTTCAATTAACTATAGCGATCTTCACTACCAATGCATCTTTTCAGGAAATAAGTTGAAAAGAACCAAGTGATGCAATTAATAATAACAGCAAACATGTAGCTGCTGAAGTAAAATCAAAACAATTATGTTGGTTCTGTAAAAACATACAACATCCAGGTACAAATAAAAATTTCATTAATAATATACTAGTAACTTTACTCAATTTACTTATGTTTTTACTCAAATTATTTATGTTATTATGTCAATTTATTTAAGTTATTTATGAAGAGAAAGTTATTGGAATATCATCAGCTCTTTGTCTGAATAACCTTCAAAACTTAATAAAACAAAATCTATTTTAAAGTCAAACTGCATGTACTAAATAACTTACGAATAGACATCATTGTTGGTACAGATTTTCAAGAGTTGCATGAAAGTATTACATTAGTATTACATTATACAACCTATAACCTTTGCAACTCTTACAACAATGAAAATCGACCTTCAGATTTGTTTGCCAAATACCTTTATATACTTTCTAGTACAAAGGAAGGTCTTTTCAACTTTTAACAAAGAATGTTGTCAGGTTCTTTAATTCCTTCATGACTTATTAACCCAGAACCTGTATTTATAAAGAAAAATGCACTACAAAGTAAATATAATGATTCTGTAGGTGGTGCAGCTCCTTTAAGCCAATCCTCACTGATGCATATCTGAGATAGAATGATCTTGAGACTGATTAAGAAATTACAGTTTTTACTAAAAAACTTGCTCCTATTGGATTAGGAACTGATATAGCAATATCAACTGATAATCTAGAAACAACTCCTATCAAGAGCAATTTAATAGCTATGGATAAGAAAGTTAGGAATCTTTTACCTTGTAAATTTTCAGGAACTTGTAAAGCACCGGAAACAGTTAATTTATAAAATTGTTTAATAAAGGAGGAGGATGAATGACATAAATGTTGTTATGATATATATATATATATATATATATATATATATATATATATATATATATATATATATATATATATATATATATATATATATATATATATATATATTAACATCTTTGCTTCCAACAAGGCTGCAAGCAACCATTATTAGAGTTACTGAAAAAGAAAAGATGAAGTTTATAGAGCAATTACAGCAATTATGACCATTTACAGATGACTTAAAAGATTGCAAATCATATGAATCAGGAAACAAATTCCAAGATAAAGGAAACAAATTCCAAAGAAAAAAACTAGACTAATAAGAGTTTTTGGAGCACTTGGGAACAGTAAAAGGATGAGAACTAATTGAATGACAAGTAAAACGAGAATGAATTTTAGTAGATGGCACAAGAGACGCTAGCTCTTTAGAGCAGCGCCCATTATAGTATTCGTAGAAAAGAGAAAGAGAAGCAACATTATGACAATGTCATAATGGTTGGAGGTTGGCTGCAAGAGCAGGTCCAACTATGTTTATAATGCATTTTTGCTTCTTGTCTAAAAAAGAAAGGGCATAATTGGAAGATCTGCCCTAGATATGGCACCAGTATTCCATTAAACAATGGATTTGAGATTTATAGAGATAAAGAATAAAATCCTGAGTAAGAAAGTATTAAGTACGATAAAGAGATGCAACCTTAGCAGATGCTAATTTTGCAATGGATTTGATATATAGTTTCCAAGAAAGATCAGAAGCAACAGTTAATCCTAGAAGATAAAGGGTAGATGACTCATCAAGTACATTATTGTTCATAAATATAGGAAGATCTAAATTATTGCGAAAACGATTGGCTGAAAAAAATTAAGTTTTATCTGAGTTAAAGTTCACCAGCCACTGTGAGCCTCATGCTGTAGCAGAAGTGAGATCCTTTTCAAGCTCAAATGCCCCCTCCAATTAATTAGAGAGTGTTGGCTTTTTATCAAGACAAGAATAAATGGTAGTATCATCAGCGAACAATGCCACCTTAGATATGAGAATATCAGGAAGATTGTTAATATAAATTAAAAAAAGTACAGTGCCAAGGATAAAACCTTGAGGAACCCCTTGAGGAACCCCTGAAATTACAGGATATGAAAAACAGTGCTGTTCATTAAGGACAACTTTTATACTACGATTGGAAAAGAAGGATTCAATAATCTTAAAGATGTTACAAGAAGATCAAAATCCATATTGATGATTAGAAAGTAAGTTATTAGATTCAAGATGAGAGATTAAGTGTTTGTAAATTAAATTTGCCTTTTTTTTGATACTGTTAAAGATTCTCCAGAAGTCACGAGAGCCAAATTTTTGAGATGAAATTCGAGATTTCATGACTTGAGCATAACGAGCTTTGGCATTAGACAAAACCTTTTTACAAGTTTCTTGCAATAGTAAACAGATCTGCTTTCTAGAGAATTGTTTTGCTGATAGGTATGGAAGTAATGGTTTTGATCAGAAATTGTAGAAGCGCAATATTAAGAAAAGCACGGAGAAGAGTAAGGCTTGACTTAGAATTGTCGAGGGGAAAAAAATGAATCCAAGCATGAATCCAAGAAGTTATGTGAGAAGCACACACACACACACACACACACAGATATATATATATATATATATATATATATATATATATATATATATATATATATATATATATATATATATATATATATATATATATATATATATACATATATATATATATATCCAACAAAATATTTGGCTATTCTTTACACAGTAACATCAACAAAAATAATTAATAGTTTTCAGCCCATTTTTTGACTTATTAATACATCCATCTACTTCTTGAATATATAACTGTTGTGCATCATCATAACTTCATTTCAACTACAATCTTTTTTCAAATTTTCTTCCTCTGTCTATTCTATCAATACTATATACCGAAACATAATCATGAAACAAACTTGATCATTGAAACCAATAGTCATCATTTTTCTAGACAGTCCACATGCAAAGTCTATTAAGACTTTCTAAGCAATAGGTAGTATTTTTCTAAGATATTTAATTTGCAAAATTTCCAAAATTTTTTCAATGCCAACTCATATATTAACTAAATACTATACAATTTACTATATATATATATATATATATATATATATATATATATATATATATATATATATATATATATATATATATATATATATATATATATATATATATATATATATTTTTTTTTTTCTCTCTAAAAGTGCAGTCACCACCGTTGACAATGCTACAAATTTTTATTATTTTAAATCTTTCACAACCAAAATAGTTTCTGTGATAAACCAAAAGTTGAATGATTTTTTTTTTAAACATTATTATACACTTAGTAGTAAGTTTTAATGAGTATGATCCCTCAGAAATGTTTTTTGTAAGTTTTAATGAGTATGATCACTCAGAAATGATCCCACAAACCATTACTTTACTCTTGCTTCAAACATCAATAACTCCCTCTTATTATCCAAATAATCATAATGTTATGTTCGTCATTTGTCGTTTTGTATTTCAGAGTTAAAGAGTTAAGAGAGGATTGTAACCTCAATAAAGCCTTCTCAATTGTGGCTACCTTCTTAGCCTTATGGAGGTAAATAATGTTTGAAAAAATTTGAAAAGTAAAATAAATACTCCACTATTAGGCTTTATAACATCTTAAATTTTTTTTTATAAGGTTATGACTTAACACATATTTTAAACTTTTATTTTAAATTTTCATAGAAAATATAAAGATTATGTAAGAAAGAAAGCTTAACATATTTTAAACATTTATTTTTCATTAATTTTTATAGAAAATATAAAGGTGATGTAGGAAAGAAGACTTACCACATGATCCATATGTTTTTAGTCGAATAGCAGTAGTGGTGAGACAAGCAACTCTTCTCATTTCACATTCACTTGAATAAGTTTTACCGTTATCAGCACAAACTGGTAAAGATTCAGTAGAGCATATAGGACACACACATTGATATTTATCATTTATCACTTGGCATGATCCATAAAATGGACAATTGATACCAGCACAAGCATCTAAAATATAGTTTATTTAGCAATCAATATGTATATAAGTATGTAAAGTAATTATTATATTATTATTATATATTTCCAAAGCTTTTTCTTTTCACAAAATGTAAAAAATACTCTTAAAAAAAAGACAATTTTTTTAATTTGATTTAAAAACATTTTATTATTTAAATTTAAGACATGTTTTGACTATACAAAGTCATCATCAGTTAAAATATGTTTTTTAAAAATTGTATAAAATAAAGTATATGATTTTAAAAAGGAACATAATAAAAGACATAAAATTGATAACAAACTTCCTATATATACAGTATTATTAAAAATTATTTAACAATTATTTTAAATGGTAAGATTTACTTGTTTATTTATATTGGATTTTTACCATGCTATATGAATACTTTCTTCAATTTTTTTATTGACACAATCCCAAGTTGAAAAGCATTTATCATTATAATTTGTAAAATATTTTTTCTTTTGAGTAAAGCAACTTAAAAATAGAGAAGTTATAATAATATAACAGGATTTACATCCTTCACTAACAAATTGCAGGAAAAAAAACACACCCACGCTGAACCAGATTTTAGTTTGATGAAATGACATAGGGTTGTGTCATACCTTTTTGAAATTGTTAGAACCATACCATTAAGGGAAAGTTAGTGAAAAAAATCATAAAACTAATCTTTAAAAAATATTTGGGTTTATACAGGGGTCAAATAGGGTCCCGGACTTAGGCGCCCCTCTAACTGATATCAAGACCCACCACAGGGGTGCATGCAATTGTTGTACATTTTGTCAGAAAATATGACTAGTCGTTATATGTCCCCCTCAGATGGGTCTTAAAAGCAGTCTGAGGGGCGCAAATACCGAGTACTTTTTCCTTCTTAAAATTAAAAGAGAAAAAAATTATTTTTAGAAAATATTTATTAAGCATTATTTAAATGTTTTCCATTGAAACTAACTACTGCTTTTTTCAAATACTTTGCATACTTTTGATGGTTATCAGACACTTTGAAACGTTCCCAAGCTTCTTTTAGAAATGAGTAGTAAAGAGCTTCCCCTGCTTGTTCACTAAAGCAATCCAATCCAATGTCCTTATCTTTACAAAAAGGACTTTGAATGGTATGGTTCTAACAATTTCAAAAAGGTATGACACAACCCTATGTCATTTCATCAAACTAAAATCTGGTTCAGCGTGGGTGTGAAAAGAAACTTAAAAATTAGCTAAATGAAGAAGACTAATATATATATATATATATACACATATATATATATATATATATATATATATATATATATATATATATATATATATATATATATATATATATATATGTATATATATATATATATATATATATATATATATATATATATATATATATATATATATATATATATATATATATATATATATATATATATATATATATATATATATATATATATATATATATATATATATATATATATATATATATATATAGAGAGAGAGAGAGAGAGAGAGAGAGAGAGAGAGAGAGAGAGAGTGAGAAAGAGTGAGAAAGAAGGAGTGAAACATTTTATTTATCACAATCCCAAAAGCAACCAATATTAAGATAGGAGTTACTAAAAAACAAAGAATAAAGTTAAAGAGCAAGGAATCAGTTGACAGAAGACTTGAAAAGCTGTAGGCTGTATTAGTCAAGAAAACAATAAGATGGAAAAGAGTTCTAAAGAATTGAAGTGCAAGGAATAAAACTAAAGCATCAGGAACAGATACAGTAAAAAGATGAGACTTTGCTGAACAACGAGTCAAGCAAGAATGAGTTTTGATTGATGGAACTAAAGATAGTTTGAATGGCAACCATGTTAGTATTTGTAGAAAAGAGAAAGAGATGCAACTTTATGGCTATGGAAGAAAGGCTCAGATATTTGCAGATAGAACAGGTCCAATTACGTTTGCACTGTGTTGTTGGAACTTGACTAAAAAAGAAAGAACATCATTAAAAGAACCAGCCCAAAGATGAAAATGGTATTCCACACAAGGACGAATAAGAGATTTTTTAAAAGTAGTGAATGGAATCAGGTGTAAAATAATAGTGAGCATGATAAAAAGAAGTAACCTTAACAAATGCTAATTTTGAAACCAATTGTAAATATGGTTTCCTTGTTAGGTCAGTAGTGAACAATCCAAGAAAATGTAAAGAAGAGAACTCAGTAAGAGGGTTGCCATTTATTAATATATGGATGTTGACAGAATTGTGATAATTGTTTGCAGTAGATAGTAGTTATTTGAGTCAAACTGGGATGTAAGAAACTTGTTGATCAAAGACTCAAAGATTTTGCTAATAATAGAGAGAATAGAAGATCGAAAAATAGGTGGAAGGGTCAGAATGTTCTTCAGAGTTTTTAAAAATTGGAACAACAGATGCCATTATCCAGAAGGCAAGAAAACAAGTGTGGAATACCATTTTCATCTTTGGGCTGGTTCTTTTAATGATGTTCTTTCTTTTTTAGTGTCAATAAAAAAATTGAAGAAAGTATTCATATAGCATGGTAAAAATCCAATATAAATAAACAAGTAAATCTTACCATTTAAAATAATTGTTAAATAATTTTTAATAATACTGTATATATAGGAAGTTTGTTATCAATTTTATGTCTTTTATTATGTTCCTTTTTAAAATCATATACTTTATTTTATACAATTTTTAAAAAAGACTTAGTTAAACATTTATAAAATAGTTTAGAGAAAATTAAAAAGAGTTTTGGAGAACAATTTTGTTAGACTATGACAGGAATGTTGACTGGATCACAAGCCATAGAAGAGTTTAATTGAGATATGACTTGAGCAACGGAAGCTGGAGTACTATTTGGGTTAGAATCTTTAGCATTTGGGGTAAAATCACTATTATTGTCAAAAAAAAAATATATATATATATATATATATATATATATATATATATATATATATATATATATATATATATATATATATATATATATATATATATATATATATATATATATATATATATATATATATGATACAATATAATTTGTTAATTATAATAATTAGTGTAATTGTAATGAAAATAAGATGGGAAAAATTAATAAACCTTTTTGGAAAGAACATTGTTGAAGTTGAAGCTGTAGGTCTTGAACAGGTTGGCAATGTCCACACTTTCCCCCACATTTTGCTGATATCTTGATGTTATCTTTATTTTTAAAATCAGCAATTCCTATACCAGGGATAGTAGATATAACTTTCCAACTTGTGTTGTCCTTGAGCTTTAATCCAGTTCCAGTTAAGTCAATCATAAAGGATCCTTTTCGACATTCTGAACTGATATTTGATGAAAAACAGTCACCTGCTGTACCGTATGCAACAGGATTACCTTCTTGATTTGTCTCAGCAAATTTAAAATCATCTGTTACTACAGTCATTGTTTTTAAGTTTAATCGAATCTAAAATGCGCATACAAAATAAATAACAAATTTTCTAAAATTATAAATTAAGATTTTTTTAAAAACAATTGGCACCTTTGTGAATTGTGTTATTCCTGCTTTTCTATATTGGGTCTGCTGTGTTTCACCAGAGCATTGTTCATTATTTATCATCATTTTTTCATACATGATAGCATAATTTTTTGATTTTCCAGCAACTAAAGATATGTAATCTTTAGGAGAGTCAGTATTCATTCCATCACAATAAACTTTTATTGGAACATTACAAGTCTTGTTCACATTGATGTAATATTCTCCATCAAGTGATGCAAATCCAGCCCTTTTCAAGTCATGGCAGGTAAATATGTCTATAAATATTTTTTAAAAATATTTATATACCATATTAAAGATTAAAACATTCATTTTATTTTACTTTATTTTTTTATGTTAATGCATCTACTAAAAAAAATTTTAAAGTTAAAAAAATACTCACTACAAACTCCTTGGTGCACAACAGTATAGTTTGTTTGTTTAATACATGAATTGTGTCGCATTACACATTCATTAGGATAGGTGTAATTATCAGTTGAACAGACTGGATCATATTCTTTTGAGCAAAAAATTTGATGACAAGAACATGTTTCTTTTCTTGTATATGGGTGTATGACACACACACCACCAAAGTAACATTTTTTTTTACAGGTTGTTTCTCTACGACTTCGATGAACTTCAAAAGATTCCCCTACATTTTAATTTTTAAAAAAAAAGATGGATGATCTTAAATGTAGACAATAAGTTAATAACATATTTAAATAAAAAAAATTTTATCTTTATTATTTTAAAAAACTTTTTTTTTTTTAATATTTTTATCACCAATACTAACTTTAAAAAAATGGTAAAGAATAAGAAAATATCAATTAGAAGGTTGAAAACAAGTTTAAATAGGAGAGATTGAGGATTTTGCTGTTTGTATTTTAAACACTGCAATATAAACTAAAACTTTTATCAACAAGATTTATATATACTGTGGTTTATATACAGTTAAAAAATCAAGATTATTTTGTAAATTTTAAAGACTTTGCACAAGAGACAACAGTTAATAACAAGGATCAGGCTCAAGTTTTGAGCTTGCTAAAAACTTAAGCTTGATCTGAAATAATCTATTAACTTGGAGTAAATATACTTCACAAGCATCTTTAAGCAACTACTTAATAGTATTGAATATTTATAAATATTTTAGTTTAAAACTTTTAATTTGAAATTCTAAACAAATTTATTTAAACAAAAAAGTTTACTTAACAGGTATAAATTAATTGAAATAAAATCTTAAATTTTTTAAGTTACAGAAAGCCCAAAAAAAGGAATTATATGTTTGTTTTAAATTGTTTTAAAGACTTGTCAGCATAGAATTCAATTCTTTAATTTTTTATTATTTTCTATTTATACAATTTTCTTTTAATGAGGTATTTTCTTTGATATCTATATTTAGGTACTAGTTCAACTTTTGACAATTTACATTTGGCAAATCTTTTGTGTAGGGTTTACACCTGAATATATTTGCCAAATACTATTTAAATAACTGAGCAAGTATTAAGTATTTAATATTCAAATACCATTAATGATTATTTGTTGAATATTTTTAATGTTAATTTACAGTTTAGCTTCGAAATATGATTTTAAAATTTGAATTTCATTAGTTTTTATTTAATTAAAAAAAATTCTTTGTCACTACTTAATTTGATGATTTTTCTTGCACGACACTCATGACTAATAACAGCAAGTGATTTGCTTAACATAAAAAGTGGTAAAATTTATGAAAATTAAAATTTTATTGAAGTTTTAAGTAAATTATTTATAAACAACAATTATAATATTATATAATATAATATTAATGTATATAATTATAATAATATAAATTATATAATAATATACAAATTATATAATAAATAAATAATATTATTATAATAATTATAAAAATATTATTATAATATTATATTATATAATAATCTAAATTATATTTCCAATTAACAATTGTTGCAATTGTAATGTTTATACAATAGTGATATTTATTAAACTTAGCTAAAGTAATTTTCAAAAATTTTAAATTTCACATTTTTTTTTTCAAAAATTGCATAATTTAAACATTATTGTAGAATACAAAAATATAATATCTTGAGAAAAACAATTTTAATCATAAAATAAAACAGAGATATTTAAGCAAGATGATTCCCCTTCCTTAGCAATTCTCATAGCAACAGTTATTAGGGTTAGAAAACATGAATTATTTACCACATTTTACATAACCTAAGCACTTAAACAAGTAGCTGCTTCATTATAATTAGATTTTCTATGCTTTAAATGACCTAGTCTGAAAGCACAACATAGTTGATTAAGTTTATTACAAACATAAATAAAAATATATGCATTCAACATGGGTTCTGCAGATCAAAGAAGGAAGAAACTAAAAACAGAAAGCGTAAATGTTATAGATCACTTGTAAATAAAACAGGCTAGTCTTCTACTAATATAACCAGTTCAAATTATAACCCACCTTTAAGAAATATTTCATCAACAGAACCAGCCTGCTGAAAAGTCAAATTTGTACACGACTTATACTTGGAATATTAGGCAAGATAACAATGTACATACTCATAAGAGTCACATATTATTCTGACATTTAAGTTCAATTTTAAACCTTTTTGATACAAAATGCTAATTATTATTAAAAATAATAATTTGTTAAAGAAAAGTTTTTTGAATTAACTTGTTTTGTTTTGCACTGCATAAAAATGTTAATGGTTGAATGAACCACAAAACAGTCAAAAAACAGTAATGATAATGAAAAACAAGGCATAAAATTATTTGCCAATAACATCGGGGTGTGTAGCCTTTATAGAGATATAAACGCTATGCACCTTATGCAATAATATTGTTTATAAAATAACCCATCGAATTATCATCAGTCTTCTTTCTGTTGTTAGCAAGATCTTTGAGTCTTCGATAAACAAATTTCTTACATCCCATCTTGAGTCAAATAACTTATTGTTAGACAATCAATATGGTTTTTAATCCTCTCACTTTATGGCTGACTTGCTAACTGCTATGACTGAAAGATTTTATTGTGCATTAGATGAAGGCAAAGAAGCTAGGATAATTGCTCTTTAAATATCTAAGGCTTCTGACAATGTTTAGCATGCTGGTCTTCTCCATAAGCTTGTTTTATCTGGTGTATCTGGGAAAGTTTTTGAGATTATCAAATCCTTTCTTTCTAACCGCTTTATGAAAGTTATCTTTGAAGGCCAACACTCTTCACTATTTCCAGTAACTTCTGAGGTACCTCAAGGTTTTATCCTTGATCCTGTTCTGTTTCTTATCTACATTAATGATATTCCCAACAGCCTTACATCTAAAGTAGCTCTTTTTGCTGATGACTCAACTTTATACTCTTGTCTTGACAAAAAGTCTTCTCTTTTCGATCGCTTAGAACAGATAGCCGATCTTGAATCTGATCTCACTTCTGTAACAGATTGGGGCTCCCAGCGACTTGTGAATTTTAACTCCAACAAAACTCAGTCATTTACTGAAAACAACATCACAGTACTGTTGACATTTCTATATTAATGAACAACAACATCTTCACTGAGTTCACTTCTTTACAACATCAAGATCCAAAAATGCATTGTAAACGTAGTTGGACCCGCTCTATCTGCTAAACTTGAGCCGCTTTCACATCATTGTATAGTTGCACCTCTTTCTATTTTCTACAAATCACGGTTGCTGCTCAAAGGAGCTATCATTTCTAGTTCTATCAACTAAAACTCATTCTCGCTTGACTCGTCATTCAGCAAGTCTCATTCTTTTACTATATCTGTCATCGCATGCTCCAAAAACTTTTATTTGTCTAGTTTTTTTCCCCACACCTCAAACCTTTGCAACTCTCTCCCATCTTCATCTCCCATATTTAATATTATACTATTTTAAAATTTTTGGACTTAAAAAGCATTTTATTATTCAACATTTCATTATTAGCATTTTATTATCAATATCTACCAAATGGAACTGGTAATAGGTCGGCATATGGCACCAGTTATTTTTTACTTTAATAGAAAAATCAATTAATTCAAGCAGGAATACCTTTATTAGACCATAAAACTACAATGTGCGAAATTTGAAAGTTGCAAGTTGTTGTTTTTTTTTACATTAAATTTCTTATGAAACGTAAACTTGAGTGAGTTATAAATAATGAATTTTTAAAAACGAGTGTTGGTACAAAACATTTTCCTACGTGCTTTTATATATAATGAAACGTAAATAGTTTTTTTTTTTTTTTTTTCATAATTTTTAGACATGTTTGGGTCCTGCAAAAATAGGCAGTTTTACATCAAAACCATATAATTAGATGAATTTATGTAAGTAAAACACTTATAAAAAAACATGGTTTTAAATCTTGCAACTTATTTGGGTTTAGATGGACAAAAAAAAAAATCATCTTTTTAGTTTGAAAACATTAAATTACAGTAGTGCAGAAATATAAATAACCCGCTGAAAAGTTTTAGCATTGTTTGCGCTTACTTGTTTTAATGACGCATTTCTTTGTTTGACTTGATTCTTTTTCAAAAAAATGGCGTCCTTTAAAGCGGTTTATATATTAGTTTTTTATATTATTATTATTATTATTATTATTATTATTATTATTATTATTATTATTATTATTATTATTATTATTTTATTAATAACTCTCTGTAAAATATATTTACAAGGTAAAAATACAAACTTTTTTTCAAGTATGTTTTTAAAAATTGTTCGCTGTTGTTTTACATTTCAACATTGAACCGCCTGTACCAAAGTATGAAGAGTAGCTTCAGAAATTACATTCTCTGAGTCTCTAAGTTTTACTTTTTTTTAAACCAGCATTAAGTTTTTATTATTCAGTTTATGAATATTACTTAATTCTTTTATATCATCTAAAAAAAATAAGATTTAATTTAGCAATAGTTAAGTTGGGATTTAATGATTTCAAAGGTTACTTTATTGTTAAAGTAACCTTTGAAATAAGTTGTAATAAGTTTTTTTAGAGTAGAGCTAAGAAGAATGATGTCATCAACATAAGCTACAACACCATTTGATTTTTATCAAAATAAAGTTTATTAAAAAGAATGTCCCAGTTGCAGCTGTCAAAACAATATTGATTTTCAAATTGTTTTTATGTTGATTTTTAAAACAATGTTGTTATGTTGATTTTCAAAATCATTTTTCAAATAAGATAGCTACAAGTAAACTTTAAATTTTTTGAATTAAATACTTTTTTTATTATCTACTCCATTTTCTAATAGTAATTTTTGGTATTAGCAACTTAATACTGAGACTTGCTGGTATCTAGTAGGCGTAGGTTCAATTTTTTTAGTTTTTTACAGTTTAAAATTGGTTTAAACCAAACGTTAAAAATTTTTGAAAAAGAAAAAAAGGCCAAGAACAAATAAGCAGCCATGGCGCAATTCAGAAACAACTCAGATAAAGAAACCGACAACGTTAAATAATTTTTTGTATGTCGCAATCTGATGTCACATTTTGAACTGATATGTTACCATACGTTACAATTTTTTGTTATTATATTAGTTATATTATATATATAATGGAAAAACTTGTACTAAAGCTTGGTTTAATGAGATTATCTTATCACTGTAAGCTGTTTTTTGTGAAACCTGCACAAAATATGATTCATGTTCTGGTGGAGTGTTCAAG